ATATATATATATATATATATATATAATGTAATATACACCAATTCTCTACTGTACAATTCTAAATTTTTTAGAAGAAAGAGAGTTTGCTACAACAGTCAGAAGACTAAGCATTATCATTCAACGGTTGCTGGCAAAACGGCATAACACAATAAAAAAGAAGCGGGAAGTAATGGGAATACACGGAACAAAAAATTTGAAACTGATACTACTAAGAAAAATTATAATTTTTCTGGGTAAACTTACCCCTGGCAGAATGTCCACCTCTGACCAGCAAATTCGGTCGACCTTTATCGACTCCAGATGACACCACTTTTTCCCTCTTAGACCTTTCACCTCCACTTTTCTCCTCAACTGTAGCAATTACCCTTCTCAAGAAATCGCAACTTCTTTTTGTTTGCTCTACAGATATAGTTTCTTCCCTTTTCGAACAACCTTAATGGACAAATAAATGAATAAAATACGGAATACTACCAAAGAAAAATGCGCCTTCTTAATAAGTTGAACCAGTGAGCACAGTGAGCATTGCAAAACTCTGCGAACAATTTAAACTGAAAGCCTAACAATTATACTCTCTGACTAGAGCGTACAGTTCCATAAAAATTCCAAACAGGCACTTGAAGCAGCTTTTAATAACTTCAATTTTAAGTTTTTCAGGATGAAAAATGCTTAAAAGCGTTTTCGATGTCGTGTAATAGGGCAGACAGTCTCAGATATTTAAAATTAAACAAAGAAGTTACCAACAGCAATCAAAAAGACTGCACAAAATTCACGCAACAGTAAAACAAAAGAGGAAAAAGAAAACTCAACCAAAAACTTCGATTAATACTCTGGTGATTAAAGTATTAAAAATCTAACCAGGAAAACGTCACAAAACGAACGAGAAAATGATTTATCTTATGCTATGTTAGTTGCAAAGAAGGTGGTGAGGAAGAAAATAATGGTTAGTAGACTACATACAACTACACAAAGCGTTGAGATCATTGAAGTACACAAATTAAAACCTCATTTACTCAAGTGTAAAAAGCTTACTAGGAGGCGCTGTCATAGTTTCGAATAAATTATCGATAAAAAGTTCTTGACGCTTCGCAGCAGCATCCTAAAACAAAAAAAATTAGAGCTCCTCAGCTAAAAAGTAACTGTTAGTCGACTAGCCATTGAAGTTACGCAAACAAAACAAAATGCAGAACATTGCTTTATCTAAAAGAAACTTCTATCTGCACCTTTACCTGTAGAACAGTTCCATAACAATATTACAAAACAACAACTATTTTTACAAAAAAAAAATAACCACGCAAAAAAAGTTTAGGAAGGCTGCTTGACCTGCAAAAATAAAATTAAGTACTTTTTTTTGTTCTGCAGTTAAAACTAAACAAGTGTGTGTACAATCAATGACATTTCCAAAAAATCTCACAAAATACTGCTTTGATTTTGAAAAGAGCGTAAGGAACAGTTATTGTTTAGACATCTAAAAGAAACACGGAGTTTCCTAAACTAATTTGCCGCTGCATTTGAAAACCTGACGTTGCTGTAGATTACAACATGCATAAATAGTTTTACTAAACTTGGGTGAAATGTCATGAAATATCAAGTCAAAGAAACCTGTGA